TCTAATATGCATCCTGGTGCCTCTGTCATTGGTGAATTCAATGGTCACACAGGATAGGAGTCCTTTGCTGTGCTTGTATGAACAATATGAATTACAGTCTCTGTTCACAGTAAGTATTACATAATTCTCAGCAATTTTTAGGGGAACTCCTCCCCACACACTGTAAAGGAGCCATGTGCCATGATGTATGAAATGTCATAGGCTGGTGTAATTTGTTGTAAGACTCTGAGGCTTAAATGGAACCACTATTAGAACAGAAACACTATTCATAGTGACTGGGAAAGACTGCAGTAAATTGGAGGAAAAGTGCCTCTTCTGAACGTTTTCCACAAATGATCAAAGGTCTGTGGCTGGTGTGATCTTTGTGTACAGACATTCTCAGGGTCTCCATAACTATTTTCTGTGGCTGAAGTCATTGGCAGAAAAAATAAACAGTTATTTGGAGTCCCCTGGCCCTTCTAGGTTGTTCACCTCAAGGTTTCCTCAACTGGCAAGATCTCAGAACTGAGGAAGAATAATCCTATAATCAGTCCCAGGTTGTATTTCTTGTAACCAGTCAGCATTCCTGTGGATTCTGATGGCAATAGTCTACACTGCTGCCAATATTTACTGAACCTGAGGTAAGGCTGGTCCTCCCAGGAAATTAAGAGATGGTATAGCCTATATCATTTTAATTTTCTAACAAGACAGGGATATCCAGGCCTTTATTTGGAAGTGCCTCTTAAGGGTTTATTACGTATATTTATAACTGAAATGCAACAAAATGCACTTTTCTAATGAGCACTATGTGGTGAGCTTGGACATATGGATAAAGCTCTAAAAACATCACATGTGAAATAAAAGTATCTCTCACCCATTTACAGGTTAGAGCAAAAATAGGCTTACAGATGTGAGTATGAAAATACAGAATTTATTCTTTTTAAAATAAGTCTTTTATATATTTAAACTATTTTTATTGAACTTTTAGAAAGACAGGAAGGGAGAGAGTGAGAAATGGTGATATGAGAAAGAAACATTGAACTGCTGCCTCCTGTCCATCACCTACAAGACATCCAGACAGGCGTGTGCCCTGACCTGGAATGGAACCAGTGACCTTTCAGGGCAAGGGATGGTGCCCAACCAACTGAAGTACCAGGGAAGAGTTTGTTCTCGTATTATTATTTATTAACTATTGTATTATTTTCCATACCAGCAACCCTAAACCTACTTTACAACAACCTATATTTACCTCCTGCCCTCTTATGCTCTCTCTGCACTCTATTGATCAGTTTATGGTTTTGGTATTTTGAGGTTTGCGATATTATAAATACATTTTCTGGGAATATTGGGTTCAGTTCTTTATATAAATGTATGTTTTTCTTATCTAACTGTTGCAGTATATGTGAGTGTTTAACTTTTAAGATATGCAGAACTGTGATCTAAAATGGTCCTTCCTTTGCCTTTCCAGCACATGCGCTGCTTAATATTTTTAAATTGTAGGCCTGAAAATCAGTAGTGTTACCTTGTTTTGTTTTAAATCCATTTCTCTAAGAAATTTTTAGAGTGACCATTTCTTTATGCATTTATTTGCACTGTCTTGACATTTTTATTGAAAATTCTAGTCAGAAACTTTTGCCAATTTTTAAAATGAATTTATGATGTGATCAATAGGAAGACAGTTCAGCATCTATGACACCTGTTTTCACTTCACTCATTCCTCCAGGACTCAACTGATTTCTTTGACATTTGGAAGGCAGCTATGCTCACCACTATACCACCAACGCCTTCTCTTTGCCATTTGGAACTATATGTTTTGAATAGTGGGAGGAAAATTGTTTTTCTAAAATTGTATTCTATGTAGAATGTAAAGCCCACTTGCATGATACACTTATAAGATTAACCTACGTTGCTAACATTCTCCACCATTCAGTTTAAGTTGAAGTATTCAATAGCATATTAAGAGAAGTCAAGGTTTGTAGTATTTGTCTTTTTTTGGTGTAAATACTATCATCATCATCACTTTCAAACTTCCAACGTGATAGCACTGAACATGAGCCTGATTAGATATTTCAGTAGCAAATCATTATATTTCATTTCCAAGTTATTGATACAGTAGGTACAAACATGCTCAAGAACATTCATAATAAAAAAGTAAAATAATTTGGAAGTGGCAAGTTTTAATCATTTTTTTAAAACTTTGATGTAAGTATAATTGATTTAAAACATACATTCAAAACTATATTGATTTCAGAGAGGAAGGGAGAAGAGATAGAAACATCAGTGATGAGAGAGAATCACTGATTGGCTGCCTCCTGCATGCTTCACAATGGGGATCCAGCCTACTACCTGAGTATGTGTCCTGACTGGGAATGCAATCGTGACCTCCAGTTTCATAGTTCAATGCTCAACCATTGAACCACACCACCAGGCTCTCCTAAGCTTTTAAGGAATCTCAATTAACCTGAAACGGGGGCAGTAACCTGCACTCAAGGCCTTTTTTTCTCTGATTGTCCAGTGAGCTTACAGCAGCGCCGCCCCCACCCCACCTTGGCTCATGTATATCCCACAATGTTTCTAGGAGCCAAAGGAGCCCAGCTTAGTCTCTCTGATGTTCCTTGATCCATCCTAAGCCCTAGTTTTTTGTTTTCATTATCCCCAGCTTTAATAAATGTTCCCTCAAAATCTCTGAACTTGTGTTGTGAAATCTTTTCTGTATAAATTCAAAAACTCAAATACTCCAGGCCAAGCTGAGGCAAACCCACTCCAGGCTGCTTCCTGTTCCTTAAAACAGTTATGCCTGGGACATCCTCTATAAAGACAGAGTAAGGCATGACTTTGCTTAGAAGACTTGGGAGAAAACGTGATGGCCCACACTCACTTTGCTTTTGTTGATTCAAGTCAATCTTAACACTATTCATTTTTTAAATGTCTTTATTGATTTTTTAGAGTGAAAGGGAAAGGAAGAAATATCAATGATGAGAGTCATTGACCAGCTGCCTCCTGCATCCCCCATACTGGGATGAAGCCCCTAACTTGGCATGTGTGTTGACCTTGAATTGAACCAGCAATATCTTGGATCATGGGTCCACACCCCACCACTAAGCTCACCAGCTGTGCACACTATTCTTTTTTACTGTTAACCCAATTTTTCCCATACTCTTCCCCCCTTTTCTCCCTCTACTCTGCCCCCACTGCTTCGAGGCCCTCACCACATTATTGTATATGTCCATGGCCTATGCATATCTACACTAATAAAAGAGAAAGATGGAAACTGACCGTACCTTTGTGATGCCCACCAGCCAATCAGCAGTGAGTATGAAAATTAACCCAACAAAGATGGCGGGTTAATTTGCATACACAGGTGCCGAGTGGCTGGGGGTGGTGCAGGACACCCCCAGCTGCTCTGGCCTCTGGTCAGCGTGCCACATACCCATGCTCCATTAGTACGACCAAAATTCTACTTCCTATTTTTATGAATTTGACTTCTCTCAGTACCTCATATAAGTGGTATCAAATAGTATTTGTCTTCTTGTGACTGGCTTATTTCACTGAACAGAATGTCCTCAAAGTCCACCTATGTTGTAGCATCTGTCAGAATGCCCTTCCCTTTTAAGGCTGAATAAACATTCCATTGTATATATGCACCACCATTGTATATATACACCACATTCATCTTTTGGTGGACACTTCACTTAGGTTGCTTTCATCTTTTAGCTATTGTTAACTAATGCTATGAGGTCCTGCTCTCAATATTTTTGGATATGCTATCCTATTTAATAAAGAGCTAATATGCTAATTAGGTTGGACAGTGGAACAACCTTCCGGAATGACCAGTGGGTGGGGCTGCGAGGCAGCCGGGGCTGAGAGCGCCCAGCCCTTGCATGAATTTCCATGCATCGGGCCTCTAGTATGTATATAATTTATTAAAATATTTTTTATTCATTTTAAAGAGTGGAAGGAAGAAGGAGAGATAAAAACATCAATGATGAGAGAAAATCACTGATAAACTGCCTCCTACACCTTCCCACCCCACACTGGAAATTAAGCCTGCAACCCATGTATGTGCTCTGACCAGGAAAAGAGCCAGTATCACATGACCTCATAATTTGTCAGATATGATGAACAGCATAAATTGATGAACAAAAATAGATTCAGAGACATGAAAGCATCGAATAGATCATTGAACTTTAGAGATCAACCAAAGGACTTCTATGCATGCATATAAGCAGCACCAATGTACACAGACATTAGGGGGGTGAAAGCATGTGCTGGGGAGGGGGGGTGGCTAGAGAGAGGTCAATGGAGGAAAAAGGAGACATATGTAAAAATACATGTAATACTTTAAACAATAAAGAATTAAAATATAAAATAAATAAAGGACTCCCCGCCCCCCCCCCCCCCAAAGAAATGGTAAAGGCTCAACCAATGAGCTACAACACCTGGGCTATATTATTTTAAAATTTAAAAAAATACTTGCAGCCCTAAACGGTTTGGTTCAGTGATTAGAGCATCAGCCTGTGGACTGAAGGGTCCTAGATTCGATTCTGATCAAGGGCATATACCTTGGTTGTGGGCACATCCCCAGTAGGAGGTGTGCAGGAAGCAGCTGATCAATGTTTTTCTCTCATTGATGTTTCTAACTCTCTATCCCTCTCCCTTCCTCTCTGTAAAAAAAATCAATAAAATATATTTAAAAATTTAAAAATACATGTATTTTCTATTGTTTTTGGTATTACAGATGTCTCCCATTTCCCCCCTGTGTATACATTCTTTGGGGGATCTCTTGCATTCCTCCCCACCCTCTTCACCTTAGAGATGCCTCCGTCTGTTCCAGTTAGCCAGGCCTCTGGTCCCATTTTGTTCCCCCCAGGTACACATCACTTTTATTCCCCAAGTCATTGGCTGGGATGCTAGTACGCCCCTGGGCGGCGAATAAAACTACATTACCCAGAAGGACATGCGCCGACGTGGGCGGAGCTAAAGGGCATTCTGGTGTCTGCACATCCGGCTAGGGCGGGACTTCCGGCTTCCTCCTCGCGGTGGTCATTTTAACTTTTTAGGTCTTTGTTCAGACTCACAGGCTTTAGGACGCTGGTCGTGAGTAGGAGGAGGCCTAGGAGGCAGCGCGCCTGCTGTGTGGGGTGTGTCTGACGGTCCTTGAGCCCAACAGCCCGAGATTGGGGTCCCCGTTCCTCCGGGACTCCTCTCTGCTCACAGCGTCCCCGCAGCCTGACCCCATTTCACTCTCCAGTCTTGGAGACCCGGCCTCTCAGGTCCCGCCGCCCAGGTCCCAGCGCGCAGAATGGTGAGTCCCTCGTGGGTGACACATGGGTGATGGGGGAAGAGGGTGAAAGGCTGCAGGGCCGCCTTGTAAGGACGTGATGGTGCGACTGCGCAGGGAGGACTCGGGAACCCGGGCCTGTTGTGGGTGTAAAGGCAACAGAGACGAGGTGAGGTTTTGCAGGAGGATTATTACTTGCATTCTCAGAACGCTGGGGCCATAGATGTTAGGGTCGCTGAAGGAGGAACGCACTAGGCCCAAAAGGGAGAATTATGAATTTATTAGGCCATCTGGAAGGCTCGAAAACGGTCCTGTTGAGGGACTTGGGAGGTAGAAGCTGGTCCCGAGGCTGCCACAGCGTCACTTGTCTGCTTTTGCTGCGTTTCTGGGCCTGGAGCTGAAATATAACTGAGGCCTAGATGTGATATTTAGGGAGGAAAAGGTCAGGGGTCTTAGTTGCCTGACTAGTTATTTGCTAGGGCAGGGGAGGTACCCTGGGGGCAAGAGGTTCTTGTTTCCCAGTTTTGCCCCTTGCTGGCATTGGAGCTTTCTTGTAGGTTCTAAGACAGGATTTCCAAATGGGTAGAGCAGTGGTTAGGCCCCCTGTGCCAGTTACTACCTCTGCTGTGATGCCCAGGGTTATGAGGAGAGGGATTATCTGAACTGCCCTTTTGAGTCGGATATGGTGGTTTATGGGGACAGGTAAAGACTGATATTGGGGCTACATCTGCATTGGGTGAGCAATAGATGAGGGTAAGGTGGGGTCTGGTGGCCCAATCTGGTGGCTGTAACAGGGGACTCGAGCTCTCGTGATGGAGGTGTTCCTGGGATGGGTTTTAATCTGGAAAGGTGGAACCACGGGGTTTGCTCTGATAGTTAGCTGCAGTGGGGTGGTTAGGAGTACCTGATAAGAGCTTTGCAATTTGGGCTGTAAATTATTTGATGGGTGGGTTTCCTTTAGGACGACCCAGTCCCCTGACTGTAGAGGCTTAGCGGGATGTCTCCTATAGAAGGTGGAGGGAGGACTTGATCAGCATGTTCTCTCAGTTACTGTTGGACGAGATTTAGTCTCTGAGGGGGGTCTCTGCGGAGGGAAGTTTCCTAATAAGATAGGTCTTCCATATATGAGTTCAAAGGGACTAAGACAGGAGGGTGCATGGGGGGAGGGGATTGCCCTGATTTGCATACAGCCTAGAGCAGTGGTCGGCAAACCAGAGCTTGAGACACATGCAGCTCTTTGGCCCCTTGAGTGTGGCTCTTCCACAAAATACCACGTGCGGGTGCGCACGTACAGTGCTATTGAAACTTCGTGGCCCATGTGCAGAAGTCGGTTTTTGGCCTGGGCAAATCTATTTTGAACAAGTAGCATTAGAAGAAGTGAGGGGTGTCGGTTGGTTGGTCGGCGATGGGAGACCCGGCGCAGGTGGGCCGTGGATACGCAGCACGAGGAGGCGCGCGCAATTCATGCATGAGTTAAGTGAACCAGTCAGTCAGCAGTCTCATGTGCAGTGGTTAGTGCTAGTCGTGTCCACAAATCGCGCGCAGGTGACAAAAGTACCTACTCGAAGCATAAAGTTACCTGTATTTTTCCAACCAACTGCAAATCCTAAAGGTATTTCTGTCATCAACTTAAGAATTGTAATTCTTTTGTGTTGGTGGCTTTATTATTATAAAATGAAACATTTTTTTAGGTGCTCTGT